ACGCATAGAAAGTCCACGGCGCTTGAGCTGACCTCCCACTCCGTCCCTGCAGACCACCACACTCTCTACAAGTCCAGGTCCGCCGCCAAACAGATACCCGAGAAACCAGCAAAGCGCGGGCATGTGTTCGGGGGATGCAGCTCCGACAGCAGCCCGCCCTCCGTCGCCGTGCCGGCTAGTCCCACTCTGAGCAGCTCGGCGGAATCCAGCGACCCGCTGAGCCTGTATGAGGACGGGCTCGCGAGCGGAAAGGAAGACGCGGAGCCCGCCGCGCGCTTCAAGTACACCCGCGCGCCGTCTCCGACGCCCTCCGCATCGCACTCTTCCTCCTCGCAGTCGTCCTCTTCGGATGAGGAGTTCGAGGACGAGCTGGCGGACCCCAGTCCCGGCTTTGACAGCTTCAGCACCTTTGGCACCGCGCCTCTAGACAGAGATTTGGAGTTCAACTTTGAGTCGGGCTCCGGCTCGCACTTTGAGTTCCCCGACTACTGCACCCCAGAGGTGAGCGAGTTGATATCAGGGGACTGGCTCGAATCGACAATATCCAACTTGGTGTTCACTTATTGAGAGCTAGTAGTGAAAGGACAGATTGAAAAATGACCGGAGACCTGCAAAATCCTCCGAGACGAGTCAGACGACGAGTCAACGTCATGATTCCTCGTGTTTATCATGCATCAGATACTGTGGGTTCTCATTATCCACTGACAAGAGTGCAGATGAAAGTGCTTAGCTTGCTCGTTTGGTGCTTGGAAGGAGGCGCGCTTTGGACGCAGACGAGGAAGGCATTGCGCGATGGCGAGTTCACGTTGTGCGCCCTCTCTGACTTTAAAAAGGGACGTTTTTAAACAGAACAAAGGTCTGGTCATATGCTTGTTTTGATGGAGGTACTGAATGGAGAGCATGCGAGCGATTCGTCTGCTCGCACTTGAGATTTTTTTTTTACCACAATCCTGTGTTAGACCAGAATCGCATGCTTTCATTACGATTTAACTACGAAAGGCTGTTGGCAGCGCCGTCTCAGACGCAAAAACAAACACAATCACCAGCTTTCCTGTCGTCATGACATCAGGATTCAGACGCAACTCAGATGATTCGACTCGTTTACACTACAAATCAGGACCAACATTCATCCGAGGAGCGTTTTCTCTCTCTCTCTCTCTCTCTGCCTTTTTACTTTTTCATCCTCGTAACTTTTCAGCGCTGGCATTTTTATATCGATGTATTTATATAATGGCCAAACATTGCTCCCCTCCTCCCCTCCGTCACTTGTGTTCTAGTCAGTCTGTTTTGTGTATAGGCTTCACATGCACATGTCCGTCTGTTTCGCGGAAGGGCTAGACTTGTTTCGTATTATTTAATTGATGACCTCTCACATGGAACGGAGATTAAATGTTTCATTATTTTCTGAGTGTATTTTTGTACAAAATCTATCGAGGGGGTGTCAATCGGTGAATATTGCTGTTTGGATTTCCGATTTTTAAAGCCAGGGGGCTTGGGTTGTCTCCAAAATCTGCTTTCAGTTATAAAAAAAAAAAAAAAAAAAACGAAATAATTTTTCTGCACCACTATGGTCAAGGTCATTTTTGAGAGCAGTACTGCCCCACAAAGGTAAAACACAGTAATTACGGCAATACTGAAACAGAAAATGGCTTCACAAATTTTGGATTGATTCAATATCACACTCTGATTAACAAAAGTAGCCACAGGACCATTTATAGTCTACACTCTTAAAAATAAAAGTTCTTTATTGGCATCAAAGTTTCTCCAGAACCATTAACCTCCATAGAACCTTTCCATCCCACAAAAGGTTCATTATATATTCTTTAGATTATTAAAAAGTTATTCACACTAATACAAAAATGGTTCTTTTAAGAATTTTTCACTGAAAGGTTCTTCAGGGAACCAATAACCATAAAACTGTTTACCTTTGCACAGCAGATCAGTATAGAAACCTGCATTTGTTTCTGAAATGTATACTCAGAAAAAAAATAAAGTACATTAGGTACAAAAGCTAAAAGGTACATCTTTGTACCTTATTTAGCTCTAAATGGTACATATTAATACTTTAAAAGTGCATATTAGTACCTAAAGTGTTCATATTAATACCTTTTGAAAGCATACAACCCCAGTTGTATGCCTTTTATCAGAGAGTGTAAATACGAGTGCTCAACAAGGCCGTTTGTGTATCAGGATTTTGATGCTTTAAAGACATTCTAGTCTAAAATAGCTGAGAATTAATATTATTTATTAATGGCATGCACCTGCACCAGCTCTGCTTTTGTATGCCACTCTATGTGAGACATATGAAGTGATGCATGGTCAAAAGATTGACAATCAGGCCTATTGCAACCCGGAGTCACAGGGAACTGTCACATAATGACATCACGATACTGTTTCATTTCTGTGGTCCCTGATAAACATCCATCCACCCCAGTTTTTTTTTATTTTTTACACAATACACAGGCAAGTGGGTATGCAGCTATCAGAGGCGATCCAGACATTAAAACATGCAATAATCACGTTACATGGCTGCAATGCGCCATGTTTACATGAGGGGAAAAAAAAGAGATCAGATGGTTTGTCCGTGTCTCAAGAGCTGAGTGTTCCAGCAACTCGGTCTGAGTCATTATCTAGCATCATACCGACTGATAGCGCAGGGTGTGAACCTAATGCCCTAGTCGAGTGTGAGCATGGATGCACACTGCAGCAAGAGGGTCTAGACATGGGCTCTGTGGGGGAGGAGTGTGAGACAGATGAGATGTCTCTGCCGGGAGGCTACATTGGGGACGCTCAAGTGGATTGT